CAAGCAAGCTCCGCGGCTATGGCAACAGTACCTACACGCTCGCCTCATTCGCATCGGATTCCGCCAACTACCTCACGACCAAGGAATGTACCGACTCACTAAAGACACCGACTACATTCTGCTGATCGTCTACGTAGACGACCTACTCTACATCGGCTCCACTGACGACATCACCATCTGGTTCGAAGGGGAGCTACAGAGGGACCTCACACTCACGGTCTCCTCTACCGTCACACAGTACCTCGGCTTGAACATTCGGGAAGAAGAAGGCGCGATCTACCTCAACGCCGCTAAGTACGCCGACACCATCGCCAAACGCTTCGCGCTCACACCTACCACCATCTCTATGCCCTACCGCTACGCGACAGGAAACCACAAGGAAGGATCCTCTCTACTCAAATCCGCCGGGATACGCGACTACCAGAGAAAGCTAGGATGCCTTCTCTTCGCAGCTGTCACCTGCCGCCCCGACCTCTCATACTCCGCAAGCCAGCTCGCCACCTACCTCAAGAAGCCTGAAGCAGAACACCTGGCGGAGCTCGACCGCGCTCTCCACTACTTCGTCAGTACCTCAACGATCGGCCTAACTTACTACAAGAACACAACTACACCGACTAAATTAATCGGCTACGTCGACGCTGATCACGCTGGCGACTCCGACAACAGGCGCTCCCGCACCGGCTACATCTACCGCCTCGAACCTATCGGACCGATCTCCTGGCAATCGAGCAAGCAGGAATTAATTGCTCTCTCGTCAGCTGAAGCAGAATATATTGCACTCTGCTCAGCCACCAAGGAAGGACTCTATCTTCGCGAGCTGCTGGAAGAAGCGAAGTTAGCCGAGTTACCCAACTTCACTCTGTTCTGCGACAACCAATCTGCAATTCGCATCGCCAACAAAAATGGATTCGCGAACAGAACGAAGCATATCGCTCTGCGATATTTCTTCGTGAAAGACGAGATTGAGAAGGGGAGACTTGAACTATCCTACTGTCCCACGTCCGAGATGGCAGCTGACTACTTGACCAAGAAGCTCGGAAAACAGAAGTTCGAGTACTGCATGCTGCTGACTGGACAAAGCCACGTCACCAGCAGCGACACTCCAGAAGCGAAGGGGAGTGTTGGGAACAAACAATCTTAAGCGCCTCTGTCGTGTCGAAACACCAAGGCACAAGCGAAGCAGAGCATATCGAGGCACCAGCGAGTCAACCCTCGGAGGTTGAAGTAACCGCTGGAGGTTACGCGAAAGTCAAAGGTCAGCGACCTTTGACTTGACAAATGCAGCGCGACAGCAAGGACACACAACTGACTCGACATTGAGCAGTTGCCCGAGTCGCACTGTATCCAACCGCAACAGTAAAACAGTTTAATTATATCTCTTCGTATTCTTTGTACTCTTATATAAACCTTTGTACTTGCTTGTTTTAATCAACTTACTTTGCCCTCACATACCAGCGCAAGGTGGTTCAAGGACTTCATTTAAACGCTTCCGCTACTACATCACTCTACCCAGAGTTTAACCCTACCAAAGATCCTAAGGGGCACTCAGCCCAACAGGGTCAGACGTAACCTTAGAAAAGGGAACTCTTTTCATAAGAATATACCCATAAGACGGTATTGTAACGACGGTACGGTAATGCCGGAAATGACGGAATTGTAGTCTCACTATGATCAGAACAGTTCCGTTACTTGCACGCATGACCCTAAAAGTTCCCCTTTTTCTGATCGCAACAAGCCAAGGCATAGCTCCACCCCTCTAGGGCTTCTGGTCCCCAACCCCAAACCCTGCGGCGGCTTCAGCAGCCGCAGCCATGGCAGCAGCGGGCTTGGTGTTGAAGTAGTAGGAGGCGTGGTGCGCGTGGCCGAACTGTGCCAGCATCTGCAGCTCCTCCTCGGATGGGATGTGCACGTCGCGGTACTCCTCTGTGTGTGGGGGACAACCGCGGCACAGGACGGGGAGAATCAAAGAGGGGCACGTGGGAAAAGGGGGTTGCGGTGGGGGGATGGGAGGGGTTGACTGGAGGGGTTGCGGATGATCTGCAACTCCTCCGACGGGATGTGCACGTCACGGTACTCCTCTGGTGGGGAGAACAGCAACACCGGGCCAGGAGAGAGGGATTTGAGGTAAAAGGGGATGGTGGTGGTGGTGGGGGTGAGGGGGGGAGAGGAGGAGGGAAAGTATCTGCAACTCCTCCCCCGATGGGATGTGCACGTTACGGTACTTCTCTGGTGGGGAGAGCAGCAACGGCAACACAGGGCCGGGGAGAATCAGAGAAGGGCACAAGGGAAGCGAGGGTGGCGGCGGTAGGGGAGGGAGAAAAGGGGGTTGGGGGGAGTTGGAGGGGGTGGGAAGGATGTAGAGCTTCTCTGACGGGATGTGCATGCCACGATACCTCACTGCACATGAGAGGCACAAGTAGGGGTGAGGGGGAGGGAAAAACGTGGGGGGGAGGGAAAAACGTGGAAGCAAGTGTGGATGCAGAGGAGCGGGCGCTCGGTTTTGAGACAGTGGGAGGCATGGTGGGCGTGGCTGCAGTGGGGCAGAGCCTAGCTGAAATGAGAAAGGCGACTCTGAGTCGATTCAAACGGATCTCATTCACGCCCATAAACTCCAAGGCAGCAACCACAATCTCCAATGAAGCTTGTCACAGGCCGTCGTTGGGAAGAGGGCTAGAGAGAGGAGGGAAAGAGATGAGAAGCATGTGATATGAGGTGATAGGTGGCACACATACTTGTTCACACACGCACACTCACAAATCAGCCTACTGACATCCACCCGCACCCACTCACACCCACTCATGCTTCCCCTCGCCCACTCACGCGCACTCATACCTACTCCCACCCACTTCACGCACCTGGTATTTGTCTGGGAGCGCGGATGCGGATGGGGTCAAACTGATGCGAGGCCAAATCAGGGCGGTACGACTTCACCCAGTCTGCAGCAACACCAGGGCATGGCGGCAGCAGGGGTGGGACAGGTGGAACAGCGTATGGGACAGGTGGAGCGAGGATGGGACAGGAGATGTGTGTCAGGTGGCGCAAGGGGTGAATACGAGGGGATGTGAGACAGGATGGAGCACTGATGGGGCAAGCATCAGAGGCACATGAACCATCCGTTGGGGCGATGTAGGCGGAGGGCAAGGACGGCGGGTAGCAAGGGGGAGAACAAGGAGGGCGGAGAGAAAGGGGGGAGCAAGGAGGGCGGAGGCCAAAGGGGGAGGAAGGAGGGCGGCGCGCACTGGTGGGGGCAAGGAGGGCGGAGAGCAAGGGGGGAGCAAGGGGGGCGGAGCGCAAGGGGGAGAGAAAGGAGGGCGGAGCGCAAGCGGGAGAACAAGGAGGGAGAGCGCAAGGGGGAGAGCAAGGACGGTCGGCAATGATGACAAGGGGCAGGGGAGGTGAATGCGAGGCCTAACGCCCCCACTGATGTGCTCACTCTCTAGACGCCTCTATCTCGACTTCACGCTGATGCACGCGAGCGCCTGAGATTGGAATGAACCTACCACTTTCGCGCATATGGATACACGACTACGTTAACTTCACCAACTGCCACACTCCTCTTTTCGTTTATTTTCTTTGGCATGCGGAAAAGGCGCCACGGCGGCCGTCGCGACAAAAGAGAGCAGTCACACGGGAAGGAAGAAGCAGACTGGAAGCATCGGGTTACGAGGCCACAGCAGGGGATGAAGGTTAGCACGAGGCGGCAAGCACTCACCGTTGAAGTTCGGCCGGCCGCCGTGACGAGGGAGCGAAGTCACTCCGTTGGGGAGAAGCAGAAGCACGCAGAGAAGAGAGTTCACGACGATAAGGAGGAGGACGTATCGGGCATTCCGAAACTCCTGTAGCCTCATAGTGACCGTTAAGGAAATCGACGGTGAAGAGCGAAGTACCTCAGTGGAAACCTTAACGACCTTTCCGTTTCCGCGAGAAGCGCGTGGAGTACAGTGCACCTACACGAAGTGGCTCGCTCAATTGGTGTAACTTGTAGATGAATGATTTTGAAGGCGCTCCAGAAATTGCGCTCGACCTAATGTCGAGGTCTAAAAGGGCTCTAGAACCAGGAACGACCTATTGTCCAGGTCGAAATGGTCGTTCACCTTCGCGTGGTCATATGTGCCCACCACGCTCGGGTTGGCTGGGAATTATGAACGCGTGAGATTGCACACTGTAACGGAAAGGCTTGCTGTACATAAAGCCAAACATCCAGAGCTACTATACGCGTGAAAGCCTAAAATTTCGCCACTCCTGGGCTGCGTAGATGGCGAGTGGAGCACCGTATTGCGCTTTTGAAAGGCGGTGGGATTGGGCAGAATAAGCAGAGACGCGAGGCGACTAGGTATTGTGGAGTCTCAAGTTTCTCGACCTGTGCATTCAGGTTTCCTGCTCTTGGTGGTTGGGCGAATATTTGTGTGACGTTTTCAAGGTACCATCGTTGTCGCTGATGCAGATGTTTCCAGTGGCGATTGACAGGTTGGTTGATTTGCCATCGATGCACACGGATTTGCTGTCAACAGGGTTACACCCAAACAACCGAGAGTAGGGTACCCCAGTTCTGTACAAATGCTAGGCAGAGGGAATACCATCTTGGGATGGGCTGGTGCCATTTGGAAGGAGCATTGACGAATCACGCATTGCGAGAAACCGAACCCCACAGCCGTGCTGGCGAGCTTCGCCCACGGGCTTGGGAAGAACCCATGTCTCCTTTTTGTGCAATCGCGCTTCAAGTCAGAACACGCACATTGTCGACAATCATACACCTAAACACATGCGAAGAACACAGAAATTAAAACATATTACTGTACATAACACTATAGAGGTGCCATGCCAAGTCTATGACATACACTACTTGGCTTGGCCATAGCACTTTCCATTACAGAAAGAACCCAGTTGTGACACTTGGTTGTTACATGACTAACGACCTGGTGCCGCATTTAAACTTTCAGCCTTGTCGCAATTGTATTCAGCTATCCCACTCAAAGATGAAATGATGATTTGTGCAGCAGTCAGTGTGCGCGTTGCTCAATGTAGGACCCCGAAAGCCCCGATGTGCCCAGCAGACTAATCTGCAGCACGTGGGACAGTTTGAAGGGTAGAGGAAGGGGAGGGGAGGAGACGGAGGGGAGGGGAGGGGAGGAGAGGGGACGGGAGGGGACGGGAGTGGAGGGGAGGAGAGGGGAGGGGAGGAGAGGGAAGGGGAGGGGATGGAAGGACAGGAGAGAAGGGGGAGAAAGAGGTGCAACAGAGGAGGTGAGGGTAAGAAGAAACCGAAGGTTCTGATGTGCTCAACAGACTCATCTACAGTATGTGGAAATGGAGGAGGCAAGTGAGATGGCGGGGGGGAGGGAGATGGCGGGGGGGGGGGAGTTGGCCGGGGGGAAGGGAGATGGCCGGGAGGGAGGGAGATGGCCGAGGGGAGGTGCGGTAACCCGTCGCACTACTTCTCAATCTAACCCCGGCCCCTCCTTTCTCTCTTTCTCTCCTCAATTCCCTGATCCCTACCCCCACCTAATGCAACCGCACTGACCTGGTTCCACTCCTCCAGCCCGCTACACCGCTGCTTGCTGACTTTCGATTCGACTCAAAAGTCCCCCTGCAGCGCTGCACCGCCCCCTTAAGGCCACGGCACTGACCTGCTCCCTCTCTTGTAATCCCCTCGTCCCCACCTCCCACCTAAGGCCACAGAATTGACACCTCATTCCACTCACCTCTCACACGCCCCCACCCTCCCACCCGCCCTCATCCTTTCACCCACTCCCCCCCCCCCACCTGGTTCCACTCCTCTTCGAGGCCGCTGCAGCGCTGCTTGACGGTGATGAGCACGCCGCCCAGCTCCTCCTTCACCTTGCGCTGCAGCCACCCCTCCTCCGCCCCAAACGCCTCCAGGTACGCCGAGTACCGCCTCAGCGCCGACGCCAGCGCCGCCTTGATGTCCTCCGGGATCTTCCCCACCGCCTGCATGCCGTTGGGGGAGTGGGCAGGGTGGGAGGGGGAGGGGGAGCGGAGGGGGGAAAGGGGTGGGTTGAGGGGCCGAAGGAAAGGTTTCTTAAAATAAGAGACCTACCTCCTCCTCCCTTGTAAGCGCGTCCTGATACGCCGTGGGAGCAGAGCGCTCAGTGTCTGTTGGTGCACATGCGTTGATCAGAACGAGCGTGGCAAGGCCCACCTTGGGGAAAGGCCCCCACACCATGCACGGGCCACCATTGTGTCCTCTCAGACACCCCCATGCTCTATGTCAGGCAGGGAAGGTGCGTGGGAAGGGAAGGGAGGGGGGAAGAGATACACACACCACCATCACCGGATCACTGCCATCCCCCATTCGAGCAGACCCAGCACATCCTCGCTATAAGCAGGCTCTCACCTCGCCACCAAACTTGCCCCCGCTGAGTTCATCGAGCTCCAGGCGCAGCAGCTCCAGCTTCTCCCCAAACACCTCCACCGCCTCCGCTGCCGCCTTGAGGGCTGACAGCGCCTCCCTCGCTACCGCGTCACTGATGGCACACAGCATTGGGGGGGTGGGCAAGACAAGGAGATCGAAAAACGCACATAAAACGAAAATCAAGCTCTCCCTAAACGAGACGCAGCAGGGTCACTGCTTCCATGAGAGATAGCAGGAGGAGAGGGAGGGAAGTAAGGTGAGATTGGTAACACCAAACACAGCTTCTTTAAACATGTGCACCGCGTGTGCTGCTGCTGTCAGTCAGCAATGACAACGCTCTTGCGCCGTGTCCTGTATCACTGACACAGCTGGGATCACTGATGGGATGAAGACATGACAGAGCGAAGCTTGCTTGATTTGAGGTGCCTCAAAGGTGATCGGTCGCCACTATTCGTCCATGATGGCACGGGGGAGAGGAAGGACACACGGTGAGGCGGAAGAGTGGGAGGAATGGAGAGGTTGGGACGGGACGACTTTCTGCATGCATGTTGGATAGCATGTTGAATGTTGCATGCGGATGTTGGGTGTTGGAAGTTGGATGTCGTGCATGTTGCATGCTGCATGTTGCATGTTGCATGTCGCATGCTGCATGCTGCATGTTGCATATTGCATGTCGCATGCTGCATGCTGCATGTTGCATGTTGCATGCTGCATGCTGCATGTTGCATGCTGCATGCTGCATGTTGCATGCTGCATGCTGCATGCTGCATGCTGCATGCTGCATGTTGCATGTTGCATGCTTCATGCTGCATGTTGCATGTTGCATGTCGCATGCTGCATGCTGCATGTTGCATATCGCATGTCGCATGCTGCATGCTGCATGTTGCATGTTGCATGCTGCATGCTGCATGTTGCATGCTGCATGCTGCATGTTGCATGCTGCATGTCGCATGCTGCATGCTGCATGTTGCATGTTGCATGTTGCATGCTGCATGTTGCACGTTGCATGTTGCATGTTGCATGTTGCATGCTGCATGCTGCCTGGATGTTATATGTCGAATCTCGGATGATAAAAACACCTTCTTTACAGTGACCTTCTAGCTGGAGGCTACGAGGCTGCGAGGCTCGAGACACCCCCTTCAGAGCTCAAAATGACGTCAGCCAACCCAGGTGAGTCAAACGGAGCCAAACTCACTGCCCGAGTGCTGTCAGTGCTGTGGGTGCTGTCGTCTTACTTGGTGCTTTTGATGGTCTTGTCGATCTTGGCGATCACGGACGAGTCGCACGGCACCCACCCCGTCGCCAGAGCCTCCTTGAGCGTGCTGAGCGCGCTCGGATCGCTGACACGTGGCAGCTTCACGAGATCCTCCGTGGCAGTGATGGCGAAGCCTCGCCGCTGGAAGGATGCCGCTGGTGACAACGAGGAGAGGAAGGCCGGGACAGGAGGGGAGGGAAGGGGAGAAGCGAAGGGGGAAGGCACGGGAGCGAAGGGAGGGAAGGGAGGGAAGGGAGGGGAGGAGAGGAGAGGAGAGGGGAGAGGAGGAAAGGGCTCTACTCAAAGCCGATCACTCAGATGCATTCGCCCGAGTTCGACAAGTTGAAAGTAAGTGGAAGATAGTCCGACCGAGAAACTAGCGCTTTCGATCTAAGCACGTCCCGTTACAACAGTGCAACTAGCAATACCTGACACATGCGATCCGAATGGAACACGCGTGGAAAGGGATGCGGACGGCACGGCGGGGGAGGCGGAAGCGGATGGTGAAGACGTGGCGTATTGTGCGGAAGGTTGCGCTTGCATCAGCGCGGATGCTGCTTGGCGGAAGGCGGGAACGCGCGCGGAGGAGGCGCGGAGGATGTCGGAGGAGCGGCGAAGGATTTGTCTGGAGGCCATTTTCTGGGTACGGGTGTGAGTGGGAGAAAGTGCGTAAAGCCGGTTTGCTGCGACGCCCAACGCAAATGCCGGTGAGGAGCGATAGTCTCGTTGGTCGCGACTCGCAACGCAACGTATGTTTTGCTAGGTGATCGAGTGGGGTGAAGCAAAATGGATGAGAATGGAGACACATGGAGTGGCGGAGAAAGGGGAGTTGCGCGGAGGCAAACGAGGGGGAGCGGAAAGCCGCAAGCGCGGAGCTTTGATGGTGCGGACTGTGCTGGAATTGAGGAGGGCCAATAAAAGCTTCCGATTGGTTGGGATGTTACATGGAAAGTGGCGTGGCAGGGATATCGTGAGAAATATCTCGCATATGATAACGCTAGCGGAACTTTTGAAATGTTTAGTAATTCAAAATGAACTACCTACAAGCAAATACAATTTCAAGATTTCAAAACTCATTTGCAAACAATCCAGAACTCATTTATTTAAGGCCCCACCCAAATCCTTCAGCTATTCTAAATCTTCAAGACTCCTTAGAGACTAGGGGACTACAGTAGGAACGCCATAAGCAACATAGCTGTGACAGCAGTAGGTTAAGAAAATAAGAAAAGCATGCACACCTAGACTACTGGCATGAAACAGACTCTGGCTACCATCTTCCATGACAAAAAGCAGAGATGGGATGGGATGCTCCGTGGGCGGATGCGCCCTATTTGGTGGACATGCGGGTTTAGAGGGTGGGTTTAGGTGAGGGGGGTGGGGGGTTTGGTTAGATGGGGCGTATTGTTGGGGTGTCTCGTTGGGGTGTCTCGTTGGGGTGTCTCGTTGGGGGTATCTCGTTGGGGTGTCTTTTGGGGTTCCTTTGTGCTGTTCTACTGGGGTGTTCTTGAGGCTGCGTTTTCCGTTTTTCTTTCATTTAAAACTGAAAAAGATGGTTTTACACTGAAAAAAAAACAAAAAGCAGAGGAAAAACAAGCAAGCAGCACTTTCACATCTCCACTGCCCTTGCAACGACCTCTTCCCTGCTCAAACAGCATCGCACCTCATCCCTCCTCGCTCCAAGTTTCCCGCCCCAATCTAGCTCGCTGCTACCGCCCCGTGGCAGCATCACAGCAGATCTCCTCCCCAGCATCGCTCTTGCAGCACTGCGCCGCGGCACCATTAGCAGGGGGCAGGCAGCACTGCTTACCGCAACAGAACGTGCCGAGATCCCGCCCCAGAAGGTCCACACTGGGGCAGCACTCAGTCGCTCCAACGGTCCCATCCGCCGCCGACGCACCACAGCACTTCGGCTTGGTGAGGGGGTTGCAGCAGGTGGAGCCGCAGCAGTGGTTGCGCTCCTTGGGGCAGCACTGGTCGCCACAGCACTTGTAGTCCGGCGGGCAGCACTTATCCCCGCAGCACTCCTGCCCTGCCTTGCAGCACTGCGCCCCACAGCATGTCAGCCCCGTGGGGACCCCAGTCGTCGGGTTCACCTGCGGGCAGCACGTGCCGCCCAGGGTCGTCCCCTGGATACTGCAGCAGAGGGACTTGGAGGCGAGGTCGCAGCAGGTCCTCCCGCCACAGCACGTGCTGCCGCCTGTGCAGCACGCTGCCCCACAGCACTTATTCCCCGTCTCTTTCCCATCGATGTTCAGCATGGGGCAGCAGTCAGTAGCCGGAGGCGTTCCCGTGGTGGAGAGAGAAGAATTACCGCAGCACTGCGGTTGGAACTTCCTCTCACAGCACTTGTTGGGCCCGCAGCACTGGAACCCTGGCTTGCAGCACGTGGCACCGCAGCAGTCGCCATCCACCGGGCAGCACTTTCCGCCACTGCAGCACTGAGTCCCCTTGGGGCAGCACGTGCCCTCGGCGCAGCAGCTCTCGCCCAGCTTGCAGCACTGCACCTTCACCACGTCCTCCTTGGGCTTCCTCGCCAGCATCCCCACGGACCGGCCCAGCAGGGCCACCGTGAATGCCTTGGCGTTGCCAGCCACGTCAATTCTGGGCTTGCAGCACAACGTCTCAGCCGGGCAGCACTTGCCGTCACCGCAGCACACGGTGCCCTTCTTGCAGCACGTCTTGCCGTCCTCGCAGCACTGGCTGCCCTCGGGGCAGCAGGTCTCCATGGGGGTGCCCTCCCTGTCTGTGCAGCACGTGTCGCTCTTGAGGCAGCACTTGCGCCCGCAGCACTGGTTGCCCGTCGCCGCGCCAGTGGAAGTCGCAGCAGGGCAGCAAGCCCCCTGCAGCTCCACCGACGCTCCTGTATCATCGGTGCCCTTGATGGCGCACAGCAGCGGCTTCTGCGTCACGTCACAGCACGTGTTGTTCCAGCACGCGGCCTTCTGAACAGGGCAGCACTGCCCGTCGCCGCAGCACTCGAACCCGGGCTTGCAGCACGTCGACCCGCAACACTGGGTGCCCTCAGGGCAGCACTGGTCCAGCGGGATGCCGTTCGCGTCCTTGCAGCATTGAAAGCCCTTTCCGCAGCACCGCTTCCCGCAGCACTGGTTGCCCGTCTCCGCGCCGTTGGCGTCCAGCCCCGCGCAACACTCCCCCGGCTTGCGGTCGTAGCCCACGCAGCATTGCGCGCGCAGCTTGGGGTCGCAGCACGTGCTGCCGCAGCACGTGGACTGAAGCCCCGTGGGGGTTTGGGTCATCGGGCAGCACTTGCCGTCGCCGCAGCACTGCGTGCCGGCCGGGCAGCACTCCTTGCCGCAGCACATGGTGCCCTCCTTGCAGCACTTGCCGTTGCCGCAGCACTTGGTGCCCTTCTCGCAGCACGTCTTGCCGTCGTCGCAGCACGAAGCGCCTTCGGGGCAGCAGCGGTTGAGAGGGTTTCCGCGCGGGTCCTTGCAGCACACGGAGCCGGACTTGCAGCACGCCGTCCCGCAGCACCGCAGACCCGTCGACGCGCCGTCCGCCGTCACTCCCGGGCAGCACACGCCCAGCGCGCCGATGACCTCCGACGGCCCGGGCTTCCCGGGCTTCGCCGCCGCGGGGAGCAGCGCGTTGAGGAGCGCGGTGCCGGTGGTAAGCACCTGGGTGCAGCACTGCGGCTGGAGCTTAGTCTCGCAGCACTGCCCGTTGCAGCAGGAGAAGCCAGGCTTGCAGCACTTGCCGCCGCAGCACGCGGCGCCGACGGGGCAGCATTGGCCGCCACAGCACTCCGCGCCCTGGTCGCAGCACTTGCCCTTGCAGCAGCGCTGCCCGCGCGCGCAGCACGTCTTGCCGTCGCAGCAGCCCGTGCCTTGCGGGCAGCAGTTGGCGCCGCAGCAGTCGCCCGCGCAGCACTGCGCGTTGAGTTTGGTCGTTCCGCAGCACTTGTTGGCGTGCGCGCAGCACTTTCCGCCGCAGCAGCGGCCCTCCTGGTTGCGGCAGCATTCGCCGAAGATGGCGGGGTTGAGTTTGAAGGGCGTGCAGCACGACACGCCGAACTCCTCGCCTCCTAGGCAGCACTTGCCGCCGCAACACTTGGGCCCAACCTGAAAACAACGGCGACAAATGAGAAGGAAATGTTTAGTAGAAAATCTTGGAACCAGAAATAGCAGAAATATAGGTTGTCCAACCACCAAAGGCCAATAAAGGGTACAACGCTGTACAGTCGAGGGTTCGATACCGGGCTGGCACTATTTTTACCATAAACATGAAACTGTCAGCATGTGCAACCAATTCTCAAAATCCGCTAATAACAGTGCCTCCAGACGATGGTTAAAAAAAAAAACACAAAAAAAACAAAAACTTTCGTTGAGAAGAGAGAAAAAAAAAAAAAAAAAAATTCCAATAACAAAAAGGTACCTGACAGCAGCTGCCGTTGCAATAGATGGACTGATCGACGCATTGCTGAACATTCGGGACCTGGCGACTCGTTGAAGCAGTAGTGGGGATGACGGGACACAAGCCACTAGGGTCCACGCAATTCTGAAGCCTTCGCGATTCCACTCGAGAAGCGGGGGCGACTCCAGAGGAGCAGAGAAGAACAACGCAGCAGAGAGCGAGAGACAAGATGGCTCTAGTATTCGTCGGCATAGTAGTCGTCGCCATAGTCGTATCGTCCGTGTAAGGAAACTCGTTGCTTTGAGAAAGGTTCAAGTGTGTGGCAATCTTGATTCGGAAGAACTGAGGTGGCGAGCAACGTAGAACAATGAGCGTTGCCCATTTTGTACAAGTTTGGCCCAGGGAGGCTTGGGGATCTGGCAGAGTGACGAGGAGCACCCAGCCAGGCGGTACTGTAACGGAACGTCGCACACTGTCAAGAGGCGAAGCCAGAGATCGAGTGAGCAAGCAACAGCCGGGCCTGCAAAACACCTTCACCAAGCACAGACCCGAGGCGGCTCCAAAGCCGAGGCTGGAAGAAAGCCCGTTGGTTTGGATGTGCTGAAAAGCTTGGGAGGGAATTCAGGTTTCCCTTGGAAATTACAAGCGTCTGGAAACTTCTGAACGCACCAGTTCCGAAACAAGAGGAGGAAAAATGTAAGCCGATTTGCATTCGCACGACTTTAAGCACCAAGACGATATATCGAACAAGTTTAGCTGCGGAAAGCTATTTCACTCACCGTTAGTACAGTGAAATCGTCTTTGCCTGTGAACCCGACACGTGGAGCAGGAATGCTACTTCGGACTTGGTGCCCAAAACATTACTCCAGGCAAGAATGCGGCAAAGACTCCTCTCATTTTCACGTGAAGATGGATGTACAGAAGAGTACAATTGCGGTTTTCTGCAGTGAAGGAAACAAGCTTCCAAACAAAACATTCCTGATTGAATTCACAAAATCCACAAGCGATGCAAGTAGCGAAACAAACACCGGTGGAAGGTTGGCAGGTGGCCATGCACACGAGACGACACCACCGACAGTCAGGCTCAACATTCGATAATGAAACCTGCCCGACATGACACCTGCCCGGAAATCTTCCGAAAGATTGAACCCAGAAAGATACTATCACATACAGTAAGACCACAATTCGTCTGTCAGGGGCTAGGTGTGGTTACAAAAATGCGGGTTTGCGTGTAGGAGTGGTTGGAAATGGTATATAACGTCAACTAAAATCTCCCGTGCCACTGCTTGTTTGTCGCCTGCTGCGGCTTTGCCCGAAGCTTTAAAGGATCTGATAATATCACTAAGACGTTTGAAGCCAGGAACTATAGCCAGAGTAAGCGCTGGTTAAAAGTTCGAGAAAACGGGTGTACTAAAGTAGGGCAGTCGAGGTCAAAGTGAAGAAGCTCGCTGCCGCCGACGTCGTACCTCTGCAGTGTCGTACGATTTGTGTGCTAGCGATACGGACAAGAAGCTACACACCCGACTCGAACCGACTGACAGTCTCTCTCAGCTTCGGGAGTATGGCGGTTTGGATAAAAGGCTACAAAGCGCGACCCTGTGATTGGTGCGGCAATTAAAACTGACAAAAAAAATCGAACTCGATAATAACAGGCTCAGATTGATAGTGGGTACTGAGTGAAGTTGTATCAAGGAATCTAATAAAGCTGTTGTGAATCTCAGAAATCTGCAGTTTAACAAGATACTAGTTTCCAAGCGGTACATGTCATGCCACATACAGGCTGAGGATATTTCTGAGCACTTCATGCATATTGCACTGAAGTGTTTCAATGGGCATCACGACAAGAAATAAATCTCAATCTTAACAGGCAAATATTTGGTTGGCTACTTGGTGGTACAAAGGGAACATTCGGACCTTGACATGTCACAAAAGTTAGCGTCACAATCGATTCTACCGCACTGCGTCGTATTACATCAAATTTCACCCAAGTATCAAACATTTTCAAAAAAAAAAAAAAAAAAAAACTTAAGTACCGTATAGTTCGGTACGGAGCGGTACACTTGATTGCGACGCAGACTTTTGTAATGCGTCAAGGCCCGAATGTTCCCTAAGAAGTCGCTACGCAGACATGTCCTTCTTTTCCAGGGCCTTCTTCCTCTGCCCCATCATGTATGTATACATACCGTATTACCCCGGATAGAAGCGCACCTGCGCTTAAAATAAAGCAGAGTTTTTTATGGGGGTGCGCTTCTAATTGAGTCATTTTTATAAGTGCATGCACTTATATAATGACATATACGAATTTATAAATTTAAGACACCAAATTGTATGTTTCACTCTTGCCATTTCAACCGAGTCGAAAAATTTCGCGTCACAATGCAAAATCTCCTGCAAGCGATTCTCTTCCAGCACACAGGGGCCAAGATGCGACACTTTGCAGTCATGCCAGCACGTCCTGAATGGATGCGCAGCCAATCAGGTCTTCGAGAGTCAAACTCAGCGAAAATGAGATTGTACTCGATTCAAAGTTGAAGCTCGCTACCGTTTCGAACAGAAATTTTAATTTAAAATTGTGCATGCGCTTATAATAAGTAACGTTTTCACAGGGGGTGCACTTATAATTGAGGATCGGCCATAAGCGTGTCAGATATATATATGCCTTAGCCTATGTAGGCTGTAGTGGGGTAGACACTAAGGGGTACAGGTTTCATATTTGTATCCCACACTTTGCTAGTTCATCCATTCCTGTTGATTTTCACATGGTATAGAGCGAGTTCCCTCATGGGACCGTTCCTTCCTAAGGGCCCACCATAACATTTTTTTTTTAAGCTGCTCGAAGCGAGTCTCGCGCCCTGCCCTAATTTTTTTTTTCGCGGCCCCTACGTGGCCCCTTCGTCGCCTAGCGCGCCCCTACGCGGCCCCTACGCGGCCCCCACGCGACCCCTACCCGGCGCCTAGCGCGCCCCTACGCGGCCCCTACGCGGCCCCTACGCGGCCCCGTCGCGGCCCCGTACCTGACCGGCCCCGACCCCTACGCGGCCCCCCCACGCGACCCCTACCCGGCGCCTAGCGCGCCCCTACGCGGCCCCTACGCGGCCCCTACGCGGCCCCTACGCGGCCCCTACGCGGCCCCTACGCGGCCCCTACGCCGCCCCTACACGGCCCTGTCGCGGCCCCGTACCTGACCTGCCCCGGCCCCGACCCTGTCGCGGCCCCGTCCCTGACCTGCCTCGGCCCCGTCCCTGACATGACGCGGCCCCTACGCGGCCCCTACGCGGCTCCTGCGCCGCCCCTACGCGGCCCCTACGCGGCCCCTACGCGGCCCCTACGCTGCCCCTACACGGCCCCGTCGCGGCCCCGTACCTGACCTGCCCCGGCCCCGACCCTGTTGCGGCCCCGTCCCTGACCTGCCTCGGCCCCATCCCGGACCTGCCCTGGCCCCGACCCTGTCCCGGCCCTACCCCGGCCCCGTCGCGGCCCCGTTCCGGACCTGCCCCGGCCCCGATCCTGTCCCGGACCTGCTCCGGCCCCGACCCTATCCCGGCCCTACCCCGGCCCCGTCCCGGACCTGCCCCGGCCCCAACCCTGTCCTGGCCCCGTTACTGCCCCGTCCCGGACCCTGCTCGGCCCCGACCCTGTCCCGGCCCTGTCACGGCCCCGACCCAGTCCCGGACCTGTCGCAGCCCTGCCCCGGCCCTCCCTCGACTCCGTCCCTGGTAAGAGCATAGCAGGGCCGATCCGCGCTGCCGAGCCGCACTGCTTTGCCGAGCCGCCCTGCCGAGTCGCGCTGTCCTGCCTAGCTCAGTTGCACTGCTGCCGCTACTAGTCTGCTGCTGCTCCTATCATGGCTAGTCCTAGTCTTCTTACCTTTGATGCTGAGGGTCGAGCGGTTGACTTCGATGTCTGGCTAGATGATCTGCAGCTTTTCCTTCAGTGCGATAGCAAGGATGGTCTCTCACTGTTTGATCTTACGTCGGGCGCCTCTACTGCCCCTACTGCTGATGCTGACAGTACTGTTCGCTCGCAGTGGCTCACGCGCGATGCTGCCCGCCTTGCTGTGCGTAGTCACCTACCGTCTACTGAGCGCGCGCACTTTAGTCAGTACAAGAGTGCTAAGACTCTGTACGACGCTGTAGTTGCACGCTACTCTTCCCCTGCCACTGCTGCGCTTAGCCGCCTCATGCTACCGTACCTGTTCCCTGACCTCGCCACTTTTGCCACAGTCACTGACCTCATTACGCACCTCCGCACTAGTGACACTCGCTACCGCGCTGCGCTTCCTGCTGAGTTCTGCGCCCAGAACCCCCCCCCCCATGTACATCACCCTCTACTACCTAGTCACTCGACTCCCTGACACTCTTCACTCCGTCAGGGACCACTTCCTCTCTCTTTGCCCTACCACCCTCACTGTCAACCTCCTCGAGGAGCGCCTCCTTGCAGCAGAGACGAGTATTACCGCTGTAGGAGCCTCTCGTGGTGACCCCCGTACCCCTTTCTTTGAGGGGTGCTCCCCCGTTCCTCTTTTGCCCTCCGTTGCCTCTGCTGCTGCTGTCGACCTTGTTGGCACCAAGTCGGTCAGCGCTGCGTCAGCTCCTAGTGAGAGGCGCCGCACCAGCAAGGGCAAGCGGGGCAAGGGCGCTGGAGGAGGTGGTGGGGGCGGCGGTAGTGGCGGTGG